TGTAGTCAGTAACATGTGCCCTCATAATTTTGTAAAAATTATAAATCTCTATTTAAGTTTGTTTCAAATGGTAAAGTTGGATGTATCCGTATAAAGGTTTAACGGAACCTTTGTTTTTTTAAATGGATTCGTATTCTTAACAAACTTTATAAAATAGATTTCGGTAGTATATTAAAGTGTAAAGTGCGATTTTTTTGGGGCTTTCGTAAACGCGGGGAATCATGATAGATGAATGTAGGATTTTGGGGTTTTGGGGTTTTGAATGATCCTCCTCGGCTTTCGTTTAAAAGATGTCAAGACAGTACGTTTCAAAGTTGATACGAAAAACATGAACCAGGAAACCTGAACAATTGAAAAAATTACATTTTTAAGTGCCGGCTGCATGGACAATAAATTCATTAATAAAGATAATTAGAGAACACATGAAAATCAATACATGAATTAAAATTCAAGTTTTTTATGTGGCAGTTTGTTTGTTTGAGGATATTCAAATATGGTGATATAGTACGAAGTTTTATCGTGTAATGACTTTTTGAATTGCTAATTTAATAGACTCGTACCATTTCCTTTGTATTAGAACAGGTCATCCAAATACGTATTCATAATTGTCGGTTTGAGGAATTGATACGGTTTAATCTTAACTGTTGCGCATTGACATGTAAATGTCTTGATGAAAAAACTAAAACGATATGATTTGGCTTTACTGTGTTAGATATTCATGCAAAATAAGTAGTTTATATTTGGCAACATGAATACTAGTATTGTGAAAAGCTATACAGATTTTGTCTTTATAAATTAAAAAAAAAAAAAAAATCAAAACGCATGTTTTGATATGAAATTATAAAAATTCGAAACTGATTATTTTTTAATTGCAATTACATGGGAGATCCTGGTTGGTAAAGCTTCCTTTGAATTTATGTATGTTAATGTAACGTCCAGTGGCAATTATATATATTCATCAAGCATATTCAGATCGTATAAAAATCAAGTCTAACGTTTGATTCATAAGTCACGTAAGTGATGTTGATGGTTCGACCGAAATGAAAGTAACTGACACGTACAGAGAGAAATTCTGACTCGTTTGGAAAATACTGAGAATATTCAATTATAAGTTACTTAATATACTTAAACTACATGTGGACAAATTTAAATTATATTATTTAGATATTTAAGTTTGATTCAACAAATTTTCTTTTTTGCAGCATTCTAAAAGAAGTCTTCAATCAACAACTAAAATTTACTTAATTTATTGATATGTATTTTTAAAGGGGAATATTTGATGGAGATATATTATCTAACGAAAATCAATAACGTTTGGAATGGACAGACGAATATAGATATATCTATTGGGGTTTCTTTTCTGCTTGAGTGATTTACCTTACAATGAGGCGGACGCTTTAAATTTTAACAGGACTTAACATCAGTTTGAACTAGTTTAACGGGGGCGTGGCTTATTAGTTTGACAGAGGTTAACTGGTTCTGAAAATAACTTGAATGACCGCAAGGGAATCTATTTGACTGGTATTAACATAGTTTAAAATGGATTGAATAAGATAGAAAACCGTTTTTAATTTTTGTTAATCTGATTCAATATTCCAGTAATTGTTTTAAAGAGGGTTAATACCTATTTGGCCGTTTAAGCTAAATTCTGGTTACTAGTGATAGTACAAAAAACACAAACTTGCAAACTGAAAGCGTATACCTTTTAAATATCTATGGGTGTCTAATAATATCTTGTTTATATTATACATGAATTTAGATGATGTAAAACATTTAGACTATTTCAAACGTGTTCCACACTATGGTATAGAAGTAATAAAGACCTGGGGTGCAAACGAAACAACCAGTTACAATTGTTTATTTAAGAAAGCAAATAATATGGGGAAACATTTATTACATTTCATAATAAACCAATAATCTTTGAAAACTGGATTAAGAGTGATATAATATAATTTGATATATTTAAAAAAAAAAAAAAAAAGGAAGACTTCAGATTGAAATTATTCAGTTTATTGTTCCAACAATGGAAAATACCTAACAACATTATTTGTAATTTTTGTAACATAGAACAAGACTATGCTCTGTATGTTTTTTTAAATTGTTCTTATTTGACAAGATTTTTGCAACACATATACGATCTTTTAAAAGTAATATAGATTTTGTAATAAAACTACAACACCTAATATTTGGATACAAAATCACAAACAAAAAGTATTATTCAATCTTTTTTTAATTATAATACTTAGTTTTTTTATATATATATATATAAGTCATTATATGTATCTGAGCAGAAAACAAAAAACATAGATGTCTACAGAATTTTTGTGAATGAATGTATTAAGAAAAAAGACCCCAAAATATTAATAGGCTTTTGGTTTGTAACCAGGATTTTTTTTCTCTCAATCGATTTATGACTTTTGAACACCGTTATACTACTGTTGCCTTTATTTACGATAACAAGTCCAATGATACTAACAATTAAAAGAAACATAAACAATGAATAACTTTAAAGTAGTGTTATTCTTGTATTATGTAAAGGACAATGAATAGAGTAATAAATCTAATCATCTGATTATCCCAAGGGTATTCAGTTTAGTGTATCAGGGTACGTCAAAAGCAGCTTGAAATCTTGATGGTTTTTGTTCGAAGCAATAATTGGTGAATACAATATAATGACACCATCCAAATGAGGTTTGAATGATACAATAAGAAGATGTGGTATGATTTCGAATTAGACAACTATCGAAGAAATAAAAAATAAGAACACAATACTTATAGATATGACATCTGAATCAAGTGTTAGAAACGTCTGCTGAATAATCTGATACTAATTTAGAGTATTCATCAAATAAGCTATAATATTTGCATGTTTGAAATTTCAAATTGCTTAAATCTTGTAATTTATTTTCGATGCCCTATTAATTTCACCCCTCCATTTTCAATTGGCAAGTGACCAGTCTCTAACGTTGCCTTGGTACATGCTACTATGTAGGAGTGCCCCGATATAAAACGGCTAGTCATACCTATAGAAAGAAAGAATTTATTCCTTTAAAATTAATGGATCCGCAACTAAATGTTAACATGATTGATATGCTTCCATTCTCATTTTTTTTTAAATATCGTACATTTCGTTTCCCCGAATATAGTAATCAGCGCAGCTTGTATTGTTGTTTAACTTCTGTATCTGTCCTTCAATGATTTTGTGTATGATTTAGTGGGAAGACATGTGCAGCAAAAATCAAAAAAGAGTAAATGGTTCACGGCGATGAAATGTTTTCCCTTTAACTTGACAGATTTGCCGTTAAAATTCCATAGAACCCTAAGTCGAACGGCTTCATCATCGGAAAATGTCACTCATGGATATGGTATTAAGACATATATAATAGCAATTCAAATACAATCTGCTAGGTTGTCGGTAGTCATATTCCTAAAATTTATTTCAGTTGCACCATTAAATCATAAAACTTCGTAACATTTTCTCTTCATTCCGCATAATTTATCAACTATTTAAAATATAACTTTAAATTAACTTAATTTTTTTTTGCAATTATGTGTAACCCCTTTTTGTTTATATTTGAACGGAAGTTTCTGGTATGCTGAAAGCAGGTAATATACGACATTGAATACACAGAATAAAAGAGAGAGACAGAAGCAGCAAAGGACGGAATAAACGCACAAGTCGAAAATCAAATGACAATGCCATGGCAATAAACGGAATACGACAAAAAAGACAACAGTTTACAAAAACAAAAATAAAAATAAAACGAAAAATGATAAAAATATAAATCACAACTAATAGTATACTCAACCTTAGAGAGGGTGAGACAAAATATGTTAATATGTTCGAGTCCTTATCATGCATGAAATATTTGCCACTTGGAGTTAAGCAACCAATAATCAATCAATCACACACAACAATAATAACGATAATAAAAAAATAGTTATTTGTCTGGGTCCTTTATGGTCATATTGCACTCAGTGTTGAAGCGCAGTTTTAGCAACCCTGGCTTTCAAATGTTATGAAATGAGCTTTCAGATAAAGGTAAATACAACATAGCTATTTTTTCTAACACCAACTGCGCCTTAGAAAGTTGAACCTTTAGTTTTCCAATAGTTACCTTATTTATGAACGGGGAAATTTATCGAAATGTATGTTATAAATTTTATTTCGTTTTCGAATGTTTGCCCATCATTTGAAACAGATGATAGAAAGATAAATCTGGCATCAGCAAACATGATAATTGATACAAGATTTACAAGAATGACAGCATTACCGAAACCATATGATGACACACAACGGGTGCCACATATGGAACAGGATATGTATACCCTTCCAGAGCACCTGAGATCAAACTTAGTTTTTGATGGGGTTTGTATTGCTCAGTCTTAACTTTGTTGTTGTGTTTTGTCTATTGTTGTTTGTCGTTTGATCGTTTTCGTTTTGCTTTTCTATGCTTATTTACCATTGCCAGTTCGTTTTCGACTTTTAAGTTTGAATATCCCTTTGGTATCTTTTGTCTCACTTTGATGCTGGAGATATAGAAACTGAAAACAGCACGAATAATCTGCATTGCAAGATCAACACAAAACTGATATAAAACAATTCATCGAGAGAATCCGTATATAATATTTATTGGCTTACAAAACGACTTACTATTAATTTTCATTTTTTGCCAACTATTTCAATTGTTGACAGGAAATCGAATAGGGCTCTTATAGGCCCCTTGTTTTATCATTATGCTGTTCGTCTTTCTCCTACTAAAGATTTATATGTGTGCCAATGGTTAGTTCTTATCTATTAGCATGATTAGCTCAAAAATATCAAAGTTAAATATAACAGAGCTTCAAATTAAATACCTGTTCACAGACAATTATTCAAATTTTCCTGGAAGACCTGTAGCGTTTCTTTGATACAATTATATGATTACAGTACAATTCAGCAAAAATGGATTCGTTAAAATATCATATTTCTTAATAAATGTCTTGAAATCTGGTTTTAGATTTAAAGTTAAGTAGCACAAACACAGAACCGACAACTGTAAAGATAAGCATGGGGGAGTTGTGTGAAGAGACAAGTGTTGCTACATTTCCTACCGTAAGTCAATCCAGCTAAAAGTTTGAAAATGTTGAAAATGTGTCTTCTTGTCCTTTGCGTTTAAAGTTAGAAAAAGGACACACACTACTATTGCAGATCTATGATAAACTATAAATGGAATTCACTGTAAACTCCGATATAATTATATTTGATTTTCGAAGGAAGCTCATATAAATCAACTTAGAAGCATATGAGAAACATGAGACAAAAGTTATGTGAGAAATATCACACTTACATTTAACAGAAATCAACAAAAACCCGATTAAAAGTGTGACAATAGCTTTAAAATGGGTTTTACTATTTTATACATTGAAATATTAATCAAGAATAATGATAGCAGTGGTTGAAGATGAAACATATTTAACTAGAAAGGTCTTCGTTCATTTTGTTCTAATGGTGTTCCGTTATGTTTTCCCAAAACGAAGCTCAAACGAATTTTCATATTATTGACGCCAAATACGAATCGATAAGTTATAAGAACCGGTTTATTATATATTTTTATAGTCTGTACTTGTCCGTGTTCAAATTATTCTGCATCAGTAGACTATTTGATTAATCTTATAAAGTTACCCTTTTGAATTATGAGGAAAAAGAAAAACGACATCTAGGACCCATTTCCAATAGGGTAACTAATAATATTAAGAGATTAAACTTGAACGTTAGGGTTAGGGTTAGGGTTAGGGTTACGGTTAGATTTCAAATAGCAGTAAGAGATGAAAATTGAACGTTGGGTTAGGAGTTATGTAGCACATTACAAAATTGAAAAAAACACTATAAAGACAAGTGTTTGTAGTAATTATATTAGGATGGCTTTGTTATAAAATGAATTTATAAATGTCAATGCATTTGAAGACAAGGTACAGGAACAAAATGAAGAAACATTAAAATGAAAAATACTAAATTGTAGAAGTGAACGAAGTAGATGACAAGTTTGGTAAGAGTAGTATACTTACCTTGAAAACTAGGGAAGAAGACACAACAAAGGTGCGGGCTTGAAGTCGGTTAAACAAAGAGAAGGAACCTTTGGAAGGTGCCTTTGTAAGAAGTACAGGTTTTGAAATAAGAAAAAAAGAGAAAAAAAAAACTAAACAAGAGTATTTTTCATACGACCAGGTTAGAAACTAAATGACACCTAGTTACCTAGCGAACAGTCCTTCCCCCAAATGAATGCCAATTCATTTTAATCTAGCAAACACTAGATCAAAAGATATCTCGTTAAAAAATATATCATTATCTAGATAACACGAAATTGTTATATCGTGTTCTCGGATTATTATATCGTTATCTCAATTTATTAAATCGAGATCTGGGATTGTTATATCGTTATCTCGATTTATTTAATCGAGATCTCGAATTATAAATTCGTCATTTTGATTTACTATATTGAGATCTTGGATAATTATGCCATTATTCTTTTATAGAGATATTGTCAAGATTTTACAAATGAATCATGACATTTGTATATCACTTCGTCAGGTTAAGAGATATTTAAAAGAAATGAATATTGCTCGTACGTAGAAAAGACTTTTCAAATATTCGATCTGTATGTATCTTTGTTCATAAGCCAGTCACTTCATACGGACCAACACATATATATCGTAGGAATAATCAGAAGTGTAAGCAGCACGGTTTTAAAATAAAAAGAGAGCACCTTAGCCTTATGCTTAAGACAATTGATCCAGAGGGAGTAGTTCTTAGAGCCAGGCGAAGACTAAACAGAAGAGAGTATTTTTCAAGAAGACAAAATTTTTGTTGGCATTTGGATTCCTATGATTGAAAAGATATGGCTTATGCATCAATGTTTTCATCGATGAATCAAATCATAGGTAGATCAAGTAGAAACCCAAAAGTCATAGCTAGGTACTTTTAAGATGCAAAAGAAGAGCAAAGAGGACGTCAATATATCATGAGAGGTGATATAGGTATGGAAAACGGGCTGGTTTCAGTAGTTCAGACGTTGTTTGCTGGAAATGAAATGACAATGGCATACCTTTTGGCACTATGAACACTAGAATTGAGTCCTGGTGGGGCATTTTGCGCACGAAGTGATATCAAGTATGGATATCAGCTTTGAAAGGTCTTCAGGAACGAGGCCACTTTCAGGAGATACACTTGATATTAACTCATTTCGATTTTGTTGCATGAAGTTACATCAGGTACCTTTTCTTTTCTATTCGTAGAATTTTTGTACCTTCTAATATGAGCTCATGGCAATAGGCTTTCGTTTAAGAATCCTTTTTAATACTAATATTTTTTGCACGTTTTACTTGTTCAAAACCGTTATTCTGATTTAAGGGATGTATTATGTATTTTATTCAAGCCCTTACAAATGGTATTTTTGGAAAAAAAATTGATGATTTGATACGTTGCTTACAGCATAGTAAATAATTGGCTTACAATTCAAAAGTGTTTTATTATGTCATCATTTAGATCACTTCACGATCTACTGTATGATTTTGCAACTCTAAATGATTGGCACGTCACTCCGTATTTATCGTAGTGATCTTCATTGGACTGATCTAAAGTGGGGTGAAGGATTTAATAATAAGGTGCTTTTTTTGTTTCTATCATCAGTCGTTTAAGTTGTCTTAGCGACCTGTCAAGTGTTCTCTTGAGAACGTTTTTTTTATTTTTTTTTTGTCTTATGATTTTTTCGATGAATTGGCCCCTTTTTAAAACGTTTTTTTATTGTACGTTTTTTTTGTTCAAAATTGTTAATTCTGATCTCGGTATTTAAGGGGTCGGCTGCATAAATATGTTTAACCCCGCCTCATATATTAAGTGTGCGCCTGTCCTAAGCCAAGAACATTTGACTTAATGTTTTAATGTCTTGAATGGAGCAGGTTCCTCATTTGGTTTGCCTTGTTTTTGTGTGGGCATATATTCGTGTTGCGCTATGGGAACATACGTAGAAAATCGTACATGATGTACAGGCTGTACGGCGGTCTCTGTATGTGACGCTTTAATTGGTCTGTGATAGGCATTTATTTCATACCTGTCTTTTCATTACTGTAGCATTTAGGAGAAAAAGTTATCCACATAAGGATTTCTAGGTAAAGCGAAATTACGGACATCTCAGGGGCGGATCCAGGATTTTTGAAAAGGAGGAATGCCAAAACACAATAGGGGTGATTTCTAGGCTACTGTTCGCCGATTTTGGCCTACATTTTATATGAATTTAACCAAATATTCTAACAAAAGTGGAATGCACATCCCTAGAATCGTCCGAATCCTCCACTGCATCTTTTGTCGTTTTTCAAATTGATGTTAAAATACTACTAGATACAATGAATTTTGTATTCAATGGATATTTTGCCTTTGATACAAGAAATTTAAAACTGCGAATGAATATGAGTAAATCAAAAGATATTCTACCAAATAAAATTCTCATATTTTACGACATTGTCTTTGACAGTGCGTTTTCATGGTGTAATATTATACACATATTGACTGGTTATGGGGGTATAGTAAGTTTGTTGTCCCTTAGATTCCAACTATTGCTCGAGGCGAAGCAGAGGGCAATAATTAGTATCAAAGGCCAACAAACTTGCTATTACACTTGCAACAGTAGGGACAGGCAGCTATATGTTGCCATACCCCGATGAATACGAAGGGATTGGAACTTGCCAACCAAAACACAACAATTTTTTTTTAAGTCCTTTAGGTTTACAGTGGACAGACCTCAAATTATCTAGTCAACCTATGGACGAAATCAAGTGATACATCAAGTGCTCCCTGGCAACAGATCTATATTTTGGCAATTCATTTACCTGTGTTTAAAGTTATTGCAGATGGCTTATATTTTTGTTCGAGCATATTGTTTTTCTTTAATTGTTTAACATTTCTTACCGATATAAAATGTTACTTTTATTATTCTTCCCTTAGTTTATTTATTTTGTATTTACATTGTGGCATAGGTCAAATTTATTTGTTCAGTGTATGTTCAATGGTGTTAATATGTCCTTTGATTGAGTTAAGCTATTTCAGTTGATATTTTATAGTGTGTCTTTCTATGTTGGAATGTTACACTATTGTTTCAGAAAAAGGGTGAAGGTTTGGTACTATTAAAACGTTTAAACCCGCTGCATTTGTTTGCACCTGTCCTAAGTCAGGAATCTGATGTTCAGTAGTTGTCGTTTGTTGATGTGGTTCATAAGTGTTTCTCGTTTCTCGTTTTTTATATAAATTAGACCGTTGGTTTTCCCGTTTGAATGGTTGAATGGGGGGGGGGGGGGGGGGGGGGGGGGGCACTTCCTATATACAAGGTGATAGGACGTGCCGCTGGAATAGGTCACTTTTTCCAGCTTGAAAATATGGGAATAGGTAGGGAAAAATATCAGAAATATATGATAAGGTCGATAAAGTTCCAATTAATTGTATATGAAAAGCCCTGTCATTTTTTCACAGCCGAAAGTCTCGCCGTAAGTAAACATTACATACAGAATATTAGCCTTAAATATTCCACTTTTCCAACACACCCCACGGAAACCAACCAATATGGGAAAAGGTTACAATTTTACCCACGCAATATATATGAAAAGGTATACGTTTTTAAGATCTAAATTATATGAATAGGGTGGGTAACAGAACCCCAGCGGCGACACCCCCTATCAATTAAGTATTGAAGTGCCACCCCTCCCCCCGAGGTATTTTACTGCCACAAGATATATCAAGTTACAGCACCTCACCCACCACAGTTAGCACACTGGTGTGTGTCAGTCTGTCAGTCTTATAATATAGAACTGCGTAGGTTCATATCGTTTGATTCAACGTTTTTTCTGATAATTTTTAGGACCGTTGTCATCATTGTCAAATCCGACATGCCACTTTGCAACCTGACTTGCAAAAATATAATTCGAATAAAAACAATGCCAGTCAAAATTGCTTTTTGAGACTGGGCGACTAAAAAAGTTTTAAAATGTGACCTTGTGACCCTACTAATTCTTCATTCATCGGCGTGTGTCGGTGTGGCTAAAAAGGGGGCATTGTTTTTTTTTTCTTGGGACAAAAAAATTGTTTCTATCTTTATTAAAAAAAAAATTAAGACCAATCATAAACTTTTTTTTTAAAACTCAGTGTCGTATTTAACTGTTTTCCCAACAATTTTTAATAAAAGCTTAAAATGTTTGTTTCACTTCCCTCTGACTTCCCTCCTGATGTTTTTTCTCAAGAAATTATAGAATCAGTAAATGGATATATATATATATATATATATATATGTCTGTGGTCACCGTCATGCATTTAGATAAGAAATTCCAGAGAATGGTTTTACACTGGTAATTTTTGGGGCCCTTTATAGCTTATTTTCCCTGAAATTCAGCATATTTTATGAAAAACAACCATTACTGATGTACAAAAAATACCAAAATCAAACAACGGTTCATAATTTGTATTAAAATAATGAAATTTATTTCATTTATATTCAACACAAACACAAGTTTAAGTATTTTTCTCTTAAGGTGGCTCGGCCCTTTAATAGTGCGCATATTTTAACGCATGTTACTAACGACGAGCGCCTTGGAAACGGTCGCTTTGAGGGGTTTTCTCAAAAATAGTTTTGTCGACATTGGAACGCGGGCGTCTATGAAAGCACCCTTTCCCGATGTCAACAAACCATGCAAAACGTTCTACAAAAGCCACAAAACAGGAAATACGTACAGTCAGGACTACAGAATGGTTTGTTCATTTTTCACATAAAAAGGAAAGAATTATACATGATATATTAAAGCATAACATTAAAAAAAAGAAAATATAAATATTGACTTGTACGACGGTATCTGGTGCGTTCGCTCCAAAAACACATTCTCACCCTACACGTTCGCACCCTATTTTCATTTAAATACTGGTTGAATATATCAAAAGATGTCTTTTAGATGTATTAGTATATATATGAAAATATTTTGCCAATGACGCAATGTTTAACCGTAAACAAAGGATAGCGATGTAAACAACTGCATGTCACCTTTCGGCTTTCAAAAAGAAGTAAAACCCATATAGTATGCTATAGTATAAAGGCATCGGGGTTCATCTGCACGCTATAAATAATAAATAAATAAAAAATAATAAATAAGCTTTATTTAGAGTCGGCAAAGTATACAAACAGAGTCAACATAAGCTCTAATGAGCTTTTAACCGTTTTATCCGTTTGGCGTTTTATTACATTTTGTTACTGTCATAAATCTCTTTTTTTCTTGAAATATCTTCATTTCCAAGTATTGGTAGGATCTTATTCTGGAGTATGTGAAATATTTCCCCACTGCAAAATTTTGATAATATATATAGTTACGTATTTTTTATTTGCCAAAAATTTTTGAACATAACAATTCCGGAGTATGGGAAATATTTTCCCACTGCAAAATTTTGATAATATATATAGTTACGTATTTTTTATTTGCCAAACATTTTTGAACATAACAATTCCGGTGTATGGGAAATAATTTAACACTGCAAAATTTTGATAATAGTAAAATATTTTTTATTTTCCAACAACATTTTTGGACATTACAATTTTCAAACAAAGACTAAATACTTGACAGTCACACATAACATTTGTATTTAAAGATTTATAAACTTTATCAAATAATGGGCACGAAAATATCTAAAAAATTTTCTCGTATCATGATTCTATGAAATTTGGAACTCTAGTAATATAACATGAGACCTCGGGGCCAATGTTTTCTATTTATAATATTTTCCTTTTACTTATTTTGCTATTTGTTAATTTTCTATTTTCTGTTGTATCTATCAATATGCCAACAGAGTTCGCATTAAAAAAAGAAAGAGGAAATATCAGCGTAAAAACTAAAATAATTGATTAAGAATGAGTTATTATAATAGACTAACGGAACTCGAGCAACACATTTTTTGTTTTACGCAGAAAAAAACCCGGACATTTCAATAATTTGCAGTTTTCAACCTTTGATCATGTAGATGAAAATTGGTCGATAGCAACCGGGATCTTACTAGTATTCCGGCCTTATATATCGGTATATGCTATTATCCCTCAATACCACATGCTTTGCGGCGCAAAATATTTGGCTTGCCAAGTCGGGATTTTGCCTAGGACACGCTTCCGCAGTTTACCGGGCAGTTCCAAACACTACCAGTTAAAGACAATATATATACACAAAATCTATACTACTTACTAGGTTCAGGAAAAGTTGGGATTGTAATTTTAAAACTCCGCCCAGTACACAGGGACGCTATAATAGTCGGTGATATTGGCAAACATTAACTTCTGTCTTACTTTTTGACATGCGTTTTTTCAAAAGGGAAGCTAATAAGGAAAGTTCTTGATTTAAAAATATTAAAGTGGAGTGTGTCATTGCGGCAAGAAATATGCACAACAACTTTTTTAATGATGTGTGAACACTGGTTTGACCCACCTGCTAGCTGCAAAGAAACGTAATTATCGGCCTATGATGATATGGAGATGCAATTTCTTTTAATATTGACTTTTAAATTTGAACTTTGGTGGATAGTTGTCTCATTGGCAATCATACCACATCTCCTTATTTTCATATCGTAGGGTATAGAAATATGACTTCCCTAATCTGACAGATAATCCCTTGCTATGACAGGGTGTTCATACAGCTGGATGTATAAATACCTCCGAGAGGGGGGGGGGGGATAGGAGGGGGCACTTCAATACTTAATTGATAGGGGGTGTCGCTGGGGCCCACCTTTTTCAAAAATGTATACCTTTTCATATATTGCGTAGGTAAAAATGTAATCTTTTCCCTATAATGCTTGGGTTTCATGTAGTGTAATGTAAGACTAGAATACTAAAGTGTTAAAAGAGAAAATTTGGTTGATGAAATCACACCCGGGAACACCAAGAAAGATGACAGACGAAGAAGTTATGGAAATTTTATTGACCTTTTCATATATTTTTGATAGTTTTCCCGACCTTTTCACATATTTTCAAGCTTGAAAAGGTGACCTATTCCAGCGGCACGTCCCATCACCTTGAATATAGGAAGTGCACCCTCCCCCACCCCACCCGAGATAAATACGCAGCCTCGTATGGTAAAAGGGAGGAATTTTGTCTATACCAAAGCATGCATTGTCCATTCATTTTCTAGCGGCAGTCCATATAGTTTTTGTGTTAACAAGAGTGCACAAGCTGAAATGTCTCACCTGCTTTACTAATCATCATTTATGATTGGTTTTATGTTGATATTCCTAAAGATAAAGTTTCACTACAAGTATCAGAAAAAATTAATATTATCAATGATCATGAAAATGATCAGATAAACCAATCCAAGCCAGCCTTACACAGTGGCGGAGCCAGAATTTTTCATGAAAGGGGGGAGGGCTGACTGTCTAAGAGAGGCCTGCTCCAGTCATGCTTCCGTGATTCTCTATATATTCAACCAATGGGCCCTCCTCTGTTACAATCACCCCATCAACCAAATATTTTAAACATAAATATAGTATGCCAGTAACGGACAAAACCATGAACATAAGGTTAAGTTCAGATAGACCCTGCAAGACAGGCATATTTGTTTTTCATTCATTATTTTGTACATAAATATGCCGTTAGTTTCTCTCATTTGAATTGTTTTAAATTGTACATTTGTCATTTGGAGGCCTTTTATACCCAACTATGCAGTATAGGTTTTACTCATTGTCGAAGGTCGTATGGTGACATTTAGTTGTTTATTTCTGTGTCATTTGGTCTCTTGTGGAGTGTCTCATTTACAATCATATCACATCTTCTTACTTAATATTTCAATATATACATTTAATAATCATACCATACACCAAATATAATAACCCATTGATTAAAAGAGGACTTACCATTGACCAATGAACAATGCAAATGTGGTCAATGACAACTGCCAGACAGACATGTACTCCTTACATTTGTGACTCATTGCATACATATAGTTTATCTACTACATGTACTTTTAGTATTAGAAAAAAACAGACAAAAACAAAAAAACGTGACATTCACATGACCTATTGCTAACAGTATCTGATAAACAACCCTAATCAGGTAACTTTAACCTTGATCACTGATCCATGAAATGTGCTTGAGATCTTTGTAGCAATCTGTATTAATTTGAGTGCATATCTAAATTTACCAAAGAAAATTAATCTGGATCATTGTGATACTGTAAATTTAAAAATTATTGTGAGGTTATCATTAATGCAAATAATGCGACAGGGTGAATATTGCAATAATAAGAACTTGCATTCTGAAAACTGAATTATAGATCTTTATGCAGTTTTTTTTTGTAATCGCAATAATTAAACTCGCAATTTAGTCCATTCGTCAAAAATCGCCATAATAAATGCACGCAATAATTTCTGAATTTACAGTAGGTAAAAATGTTGTCAGTTAATAGTGAGACACAAGTTTTCCCAGACAATATATAATTCTTTTGGTTGTTTTGTTTGGTTGCTGTCTCATTGAACAAAACTGTATTTTATTTCTCCTTTTATCCAGAAAATATAACTTTTGAAATAGAAACTGAATAGCATATGGATGGAAAACAAATGCCAAATGATGTAAAATAATTCAAGTGGCCATTTAGGTCAGGGGTTGGTGAGATAAAAGATGAGGCAAAGGCATGTGCATTCACCACAACTGCCACTTGGTATTATGATTTCCAAAATTTACAAATCTCATAGCTATCTTCTGTATTAAAGACAACTGCATATATTGCAGTTTGCATATCATGAATTGTGTTTGCAGCAAAATTCACTACAGACAGCAAAAAAAAAAAATAATTCAGCTCTATTAAAATTCATTTTTTGAAACATTTTTGAATTTTTTTCCTAAAATGTCTATGAGATCAAATTTATAAAACATTTATTAGCATTGTAAATTTCAATATACTAGTAATTGTTGACATGTATACATCATGTACATGTACAATCATTAGCTGATCAGCTCTATATTTTCATTATTTTTATATCAATATTCTTCATCAGTGTTTTTTATAAGACTCAATAATCTGTATTCATCATTGGGACGGGTAGGTAAAGTAGGTCCTTTTGATCTTGGATTTTGACAGCACTAAAGCATATAGTTCCAAATTATAGTTGATCTTGGCTTCTTAAGTGGATTCTGACAACACTTTGCATATAGACACCAAGTGTAGATGATCTTGGGTTCTCTCATATGGATTCTGCCAGTACTTTGATTATACATGTAGTTCCAAGTATTGTTGATCTTGGCTTCTAATGTTGTTCTTAAGTTTCTGCACTTTACATATAGTTCCCAATTGCCAGACAAGATGATACTGGCTTCTCCTGTAAAGTCTGTCAGTTCTTTGCCAATAGTTTCCAGGTAAAGTTGAACATCCCAGGATCTTTCACAACAAATCACTCCTTCCTCTTACATGTACTTGAAGCCTGAAATTAAATGTCAGAGTAATTCTGTCAGAAAATCAACCATGATTGACATTTAAAAGCATAATGTAGTTCATATTTTAAATAAATGGGGAATGTGTCCATGGGACACAGATGATGCCCCCACTTACATATAAAGTTATAAAGGAGCATAACTAAAGAACGGTAAGAATGACACTACCCAAAGTTTTACTTGATCTGAATTTTGTTGTAATAAGTAATGTAAAGTTTCATAACATTTGGATGAGGCAAACTAAATTTAGAGAACGGAAACAAAAAATTCAGCAATTTTTCCATTTGTAAAGGGGCATAACTCTAGAACAGTAAAAGTGACACCACCAAAAAAAATTCAAACTTGATCTGTGTTTGTTGGTAATAAGCATTGTGTATAAGTTTCATTCATAACATTTGGTTGAGGCAAACTGAAGTTAGAGAACGGACATCAATTTTGGGACATACGTACAGACAGACAAGGGTAAAACTTAATGCCCACTCCACTACGGCGTAAAAAAATGAAGAATTTGTGGCAACAATAATGAGCAAACAAAATAAAATTACATGCACAGCAAGTGTAAATAGTGATTTTGTTTTTATATATATGTTGAATACAGACTTCTCGGGGCATGCTGTTTCGATGCCAGGGACAAGTTATTTCTTTGCCTAAAAATTATAAAATGCAGCTGAGCTACATTTGTACTCCTCGTCAACCAAATTATGCTGAGGTGTCTTGTAACCTGTTTGGAATATATGGGATATACAAATTTTGTGTTTAAAAATACTAAGCACAAAACAATAATGAATTTTTCAACTCAAATGTATGTGTTATTTGGTAAACAAGATAAGCCCCTTGAGCTGGTGGACAGGGATAAGGGAACATGGGAATGAGGGATCAGGAAGCGAGAAAAAGGGGGTATCATGTGCAGGTCCGTTACCGTTAGTTAGCCTGGTCTGAGTGAAAATAAAAGTAACCAATTTGGTAGAAGTAAATCTTATGAAGATTATAAATAGAAAAAAAACCTTTGATCTCGTGTGAGTCACTTTATTTTTGAACAATAAAAATAAACTTACTTTGTAAAATATTTCCTTTCTCTTTTGGTACTGTACAGGTATACCTAACAACAAAATTATTTTCATTTACCTGTGTTTAAAGTTATTGCAAATGGATGGTATTTTTGTTCGAGCATATTGTTTTTCTTTAATTGTTTAACATTTCTTACCGATATAACATGTTACTTTTATTATTCTTCCCTTAGTTTATTTATTTTGTATTTACATTGTGTCATAGGTCAAATTTATTTGTTCAGTGTATATTCAATGGTGTTAATATGTCCTTTGATTGAGTTAAGCTATTTCGGTTGATATTTTATAGTGTGTCTTTCTATGTTGTGATGTTACACTATTGTTTCAGAAAAAGGGTGAAGGTTTGGTACCATTAAAACGTTTAAACCCGCTGCATTTGTTTGCAACTGTCCTAAGTCAGGAATCTGATGTTCAGTAGTTGTCGTTTGTTGATGTGGTTCATAAGTGTTTCTCGTTTCTCGTTTTTTATATAGATTAGACCGTTGGTTTTCCCGTTTGAATGGTTTTACACTAGTAATTTTTTGGGGCCCTTTATAGCTTACTGTTCGGTGTGAGCCAAGGCTCCGTGTTGAAGACCGTACTGTGACCTATAATGGTTTACTTTTATAAATTTTGACTTGGATGGAGAGTTGTCTCATTGGCACTCATACCACATCTTCTTATATCTATTAATATATCTTTATTTTATTGTTATTGAACTATACTAACAAAAGCATGATTTAGATAAAAGGAAGGGTACAAACAGACTCAGGGTGGGAATGTAAAAGGGATGAACGTGAATTGGAGCGAACATGATTTTGGGTGAAAGGACAAGAATTCGAAAAGAGGGGGGAATAAATAATCTGGGAAATATATTTTGCAATTTTTTTGTCTGGGAGCAAGGGGGATGGAAGTAGAAGTTAAAAGAGAAAATTTTAGAGTAAAAGGGAAGAGAAATGGGAGTTGGGGATAGGGAGTGGTAATCATGAACCCCTGTCCGAGGGAAGTTATGGGGTACCCCATTTTACAGGTTGGGAACAAACCCTCTATATGGTGTTCAGGGGCGGACCCAGCCATGTATAAAAGGGGGGGTTCCAACTATATGTCCCCATTCAAATGCATTGATCGTCAAAAAAAAAAGGGGGGGGTTTCAACCCCTAGAACCCCCCCTCTCCCCTGGATCCGCCACTGCTAAACTGACTGAATATACAATCTATTGTACACCATAATTGAAAGCTGTGATGATCAGGTAAATTCCACTCAGTTATGCCTCACTGAACAGAATTTCTATTGTTAGATTTAACATAAAATTTAAAGGTCAACTGCATGTCCTTTTTGTTGTTGATCAGGTGTTCAGATAGGTATACAGTAGATTGCAAGTTCTGTCACTTTAGCAGAAAACTGGGCATCACAGGCCATTTTTTAGTAAAAGAAATACAGAATACAGTAAAGTGCAATAATTGATGCATATATAATGCTATAGATTATAGCAAATATAACTAGAAAATGCCATTCTGCCCTATTTTGCTTTAAATCCAGTCTAAACATGTTATCCCTCTATAGAAGGATTATCCCTCTATACAGGTATAAACACCATATAGAGGGTTTGTTCCCAACCTGTTTTACTAGTCATTATAGACGCTAACGATAAATATTTAACTTCATTTGACCCTAACGTGGCTACGAAATTAGATTTTACGAATGACGATATAAAATCAAGACTCATTTGACGCTAACGGTAGCGCAGATCATGAGATGCTGAAAATGACCATCCCCTCCTCTTTGACTGTTTGACACGGATATTTTTTCAAAACAGGCTATTCATGTTCACAACTTGCCAGTTAACAGGTTAAGGGTCAAGTAAACACATAAATAAGATACCAGCCATAACGATTATACATAGAACAGAAATTTAGCCCATGCAAGGTTTCAGTCGCAGTGATTTTCTACAGTAGCGAGTATTTTGAGATAACCCCCCACTTTGTATTTTTCGTGATACTGATAACATTTGGCTGTCTAATATATTAAAATCTATGTTTTCTTATGTAATGACTCTACCTTCATCGTTGTCTATTCGCCACTATGTCTGTTATTCATGCACATGGCCGTATTTATCAGTGCAGTATGCTGCTCAGCAATGGCGACCCTGAAATTTCTGTTGTCCGATTATGGCGCCAGATTAGAGGGAAGCAACTCGCGCCAGACAAAATTACCGTATTTCACCAAAATAATCAAAATTTCGCTTTTTTATAACAAACAGTAAAATGTTCATCACATTTATATTCAGCTTTTGTCCATTGATATAATTACAAACATTATTTATTTAAAGACACCAATAAAAAAATCACAATAAAGTAATTAATGGAGTGCATTGAAATCAGACCTCATGGGGTAGAGGGGTTAAACAAAAGCTCGTAACTTTTTTAAAAGCCTGGTGACCCCCATTTTATTTTACCTTAAAATGCTTGAAAAGTTCATAGCTTTGACATATCCGTTTTTAAAAAAAAATCTACCGGGGAAATTTTACGAAAAATCGATTTAACCAATATTTTTAGCCCTTAACTGAAATTAAAAAATGCCAAATTTAGACATAAATCTGAAAATAAAAGGATTTTTAAGTATAAAACAACCAAGGGGAACGTTTGCATTTCAAATTTAATTGTTTTTTCACATAATAATCATACTGACATGGTTCTAAAAGTCTTTGAATTTGATGTAGTCGTTATTGTTGAAAGGGTGTAAAAGTTTGGAAATAGGGTCAAAATCGCACATTTCGCTTCCATTTGAGGAGAAAACGAGCCTGGTGACCCCCTTTTTTCTTTGCATTTTTGGATTCAGCATAAAAAAATCTACAAAATATGTGAAAATAAAAAAATTCTACCGGGGGTCCTTATTGGGGTGAGCCACCTTAAGATTTTATCAAAAAACACTGATCATGAGGCCTTTGAAATAACTAATTAGAATAATGTTGCATTATTTTTGATAAAAAGAAGAAATATTGATAATTTCAAACAATGAGAACAACATTTTAGTATCTTTTCTCTGATATTCATTTAATTTTATGAAAAACAACACATCCTGATGTACAAAAAGTACTAAAATCAAATTGCATTTCATGAATCTATTTAAATAAAGAAATACACGCATTCTTATTCAACACAAACAAAAGTTTAAGTATCTTTATCCTTAAATTATTCACATCTTATACAAAATTACTTATCTAAAGGCATTGATAATAACTGATTGCAAATGGCATTGCATTATTTCTGATGTAAAAGAAGAAATATTGGTAATTTTAAACAATGCAAACAACATTTTAGTATCTTTCCTCTGATATTAATTAAATTTTGTGAAAAACAATCCATCCTGATGTACAAAAAGTACAAAAATCCAATGGTGGTCAATAATTTCCTTTAAAATAAAGAAATGATTGCATTCTTATTCAACAAAAAAAAAAAGTTTATGCATATTTATCCTTAAATTATTCACATCTTATACAAAATTACTTATCTAAAGGCATTGATAATAACTGATTGCAAATGGCATTGCATTATTTCTGATGTAAAAGAAGAAATATTGGTAATTTTAAACAATGCAAACAACATTTTAGTATCTTTCCTCTGATATTATTTAAATTTTGTGAAAAACAACCCATCCTGATGTACAAAAAGTACAAAAATCCAACGGTGGTCAATAATTTCCTTTAAAATAAAGAAATGATTGCATTCTTATTCAACAAAAACAAAAGTTTATGCATATTTATCCTTAAATTATTCACATCTTATACAAAATTACTTATCTAAAGGCATTGATAATAACTGATTGCAAATGGCATTGCATTATTTCTGATATAAAAGGAGAATTATTTGCATTTTTAAATAATGTGAACAAAATTTTAATATCTTTTCCTTGAAATTCAGCATATTTTATGAAAAACAAACAATTCTGATGTACAAAAAGAAATTAAATTAAATGGCAGTTCATAATTTCTATTAAAATAATGAAATTATTTCATCTATATTCAGCACAAACAAAAGTTTAAGTATTTTACTCTTAAGATTTTATCAAAAAACACTGATGATGAGACCTTTGAAATAACTAATTAGAATAATGTTGCATTATTTTTGATAAAAAGAAGAAATATTGGTAATTTCAAACAATGAGAACAACATTTTAGTATCTTTTCTCTGATATTCATTTAATTTTATGAAAAACAACCCATCCTGATGTACAAAAAGTACTAAAATCAAATTGCATTTCATGAATCTATTAAAATAAAGAAATACACGCATTCTTATTGACACAAACAAAAGTTTAAGTATCTTTATCCTTAAATTATTCACATCTTATACAAAATTACTTATTAAAAGGCATTGATAATAACTGATTGCAAATGGCATTGCATTATTTCTGATGTAAAAGAAGAAATATTGGTAATTTTAAACAATGCAAACAACATTTTAGTATCTTTCCTCTGATATTAATTAAATTTTGTGAAAAACAACCCATTCTGATGTACAAAAAGTACAAAAATCCAATGGTGGTCAATAATTTCCTTTAAAATTAAGAAATGATTGCATTCTTATTCAACAAAAACAAAAGTTTATGCATATTTATCCTTAAATTATTCACATCTTATACCAAATTACTTATCTAAAGGCATTGATAATAACTGATTGCAAATGGCATTGCATTATTTCTGATGTAAAAGAAGAAATATTGGTAATTTTAAACAACGAAACACAATTTGTGTAGCTTTACTCTGCTATAAATCATTATTTGTAAAAAAAAACCAACCGATCCTGATGTACAAAAGTAATAGATTCCAATGTCGATTCATGATTACCATTAAAACTTGGACTATTATACTAAGTGTCAATATATTATGTCCCAGATTAAAATAAAGAAATAATAGCACTCTTAATCAACCCAAACAAAGCTTTAAGTATCTTTACTGTTAAATTATTCTTATTTTCATCATCTAGTGACATTAAAATGCATAATTGCTAAATAGGGTACTTATTTCAAATGATAACATGTTATCTTTTTTAGTGATAAAGGAACATTCTGATCATGACATTTTTCTGCACTTATGTAATGTATTTGGCAGAAAAATAATGAAGTAATACATATAATGCGTGAAAAGTAATTTATATATTTTTAATGTGTTATTGTGACCAAGTTGATTACAAATTAACGAGTAATGGTGTCTTCTTAGAGGTTTGCGTTTATCGCATGTAAATACTGTGGATTTCGTTTCAAATAAGAATTTTAATTATATACGTATCCGTCCGATCCGTGCATATAATTAATTTACTGATCGATAGCTAACCGTTGTCACGGTAACTCTCACATAGCTTATCTGATATATTTGACGGATTCTATGGGTCATCGATCACCGATCATTCATCGATCAGTCAAGCATCCGTCACCGATCATTCACTGATCAGTCCAGTTCCCGTCAAACAGTAACGCCTAAGGTTGCAAGTACTGTAACTCTAAACTTGAAATGCAACCTCGTATACACAAGGCTATCCAAGATGTATTAATAATCTAAATTGATCTCATGATCTAAAGTAAAGTATATGAACCTTTATTCGACAATGTGTAATTTGCACACTTCTACTATAAACTTTAAAACGTTTTGTTAAATGATACTTTCATATTCTATGAAAGAAGTTGACAAGTTACAAACTGTAATATCTAGTATTTGAATTGAAAATATCTCGTAAACAGACGTGTAAATGAAAATAATATCCATTTTACCGAAACAGGTAAATTAAAGGAAATAATTTCAACATTTAAAAGAAACCAATTTAACCATAACTGTCACACTCCACCCCACTCAGAACAAATTAGAATTTTATACCTTTGTTCAAACAACAACAAATAAAACCAACATAAATATCAAAAGCATGGAAATAAAAAACAAAATCACAAAATAGATCATATAACAAAATCAGCAATAATTGCAATAATTGACTCCCTTTCTCAGTAAAGTTCTACTGTTCCAAATCAAAAACACGATCACCATCTCGTTATTAATTTGGCAGCACATTTGTTGTTAGTGAAATTTCAATATTGTCCACGGGACACTGCCAAACTGTTATAAGGGGGAACATGAAACACTACCCGATGGTCTTTAACATACTGTTCTCTATTTCTCTCCTCGCTGCTTCCCTAGCAGTCACATTAACACGGACGATTTTTCGGAATAATACAATTCCTGGAGACTTGTAATGCATGTTATGTTCCTTGTGATGAGTCAACATCAACTTTTTTATGTCCACATCTGTGAAAACGTGTTCTTTCTTGTAGTGTTTTAACATTTTGGATCTTTCCGGAGACTTAACAAACATCCAAATATACTACAGCTATAAATTGCAACAAACCGTTCGTGGAATTTCTTCCAGTGTTTAACATACTGGTCATGTTTATGGAAATGAGAAGTTTTACACCCCTCTACTTCACAGGGCATGCCCTATGAAGGCTACCAAAGCACAAGTTTCAGTATCAGCAGAATTAGCCATATTCTGTAAACAAAAAATATCAATTCCTAATTAAAATAAAGTAAAGAATCCGTTATCATACAGTCCTTGGATGGTGTAAACTTCTCACTAACACCATACACCATTACACCATTCACCATACACCATTACACCATACACCCTGTGCTATTACACTATACACGTTACACCTTTTCACCATACAACTTACACATTATACCATAATGCAATTTAATTTCAAAGAACGCTTGCGACTACAAAATTATTTATTTATTTTAAAAAACGAATTTTGATCACAATATTGTAAATTAATGTATAAAATTAAAGATCAGTTCTTATCAATATTTTGCATAGTTTTAAATGTCGTACACCATTCATTCACACCATTCCCGAATTTCAGCAAAAGGTTTAGGTGATTTTATTTGTTTGGAATTTTTTCCAATGTTTTATGTAGCTGTTATACGACAAATAATTATGAGTAGAGCATCCATCGATCTCGCAAGTCATGCCTTCAACTAGAAATGGTGGTTTTTAATCATCATTCAATGCTAATGTCTCACGGTCATCTACCTCAATTTGCAAGTCTGCCTTTATAAAGTGAAATTTACAGAAAAACAGATTAAAATGTTGTCTTTCTTTTTATTTTTTGTAATACATATATCTTCCTTTACAAAACATAATATATATAATAACCGGTATTCTATTCCCAAGTATTATGTTGTCTTTGTTTTATTAACCGCATAATACACCGTATATGGACACATAACTAAATACAT